AGACATTAAATCATCTGTATTATTTATTAAAATATTCAAATATATATTTCTTGAATTCATACTATTTCAAATTAGTTGTTAAGTAATCGGTATATTGTTATTCTGTTAACAATTAAAATAACTGAAAAACTTTAACGTTTTAACAGACTAGCCGTTTATGACTAAATAATATAATTATATTATTTAGTCATAAACGGCTTAGATTAGGTTATTTAAGTAGGTAACAGTCTAACAATAGGTAGGTAACAGTTTAAATAAATGTTGCCTACCTATTGTTAGACTGTTACGTACTTATGACTAAATAATCTAAATAATCTAAATAATCGAAATATACCTATTTTATTTAGTTCTATGCGTCAATAATCATTTTCTAATATAATTTATGATATTGGGATTCTATGGTTGATTGGTTGTTGAATTCTATGTTGGAGGTCCGGCCTGTCTGCAATTGTTTGGATCCCAAGTTTTATGATGAAGTTTTTACCATTCTGTGTCTCTTTGGTTAACTGTTAAGGATTCGAGAGTGCTTTCCTTCTCCACCTATTTTGTTATCCATCAAAATGCTAAAATATAGTAAAAAAATATCATGTCGGGTGGCGCAGTAGATCTGCGATTAATTTTGGCTGACACTATGCCTTAATTTCGGCCGATCTTTTGGGCATGTGATTTGAGGATCCAGCCTGGCGCCATGACAGTGACCTGATAGTGACCTGGTAGTTACCGTAGAACTGTCATAGAACTGTCATGGAACTGGTAGTTTGTCTGCTTGGATGCCGAATTATTATTCCCAAACATCTGGCCAAAATTGTGGAATAGTGCTGGCCGGTACTGCGCCTTACTGCGCCATAGTCACGTGATACTGTTCCGACGACAGAACACCCTCACATAGTTACGGGCTAGTGACGGGGATGTTCTGGGAAAGTTTCTGGAACCCAATATATATGCATCTGTGCCACATATTTTTTGTATCCATATATTTCCGAAATCTTCCTAACACTCTCGAGCTCCAGTCTGGTGGACAGTTGGTTAGTAGAGAATTGGAGGTACAATATGTATTATCTTGGCCTGACCCATTTGATTACCAAAAAGTGAGCCATCATGCAACCTAATTATTGTCAGTACATGTATGCCTATTTCATGTCCGAAGTTGGAGATGCGATATGTATTATTGTGGCTGGCACATCTATACCATACCCGAGTACATACTAGTGGTAGGGTAGTCTTCTTCCATTATTTTATATAAAGATGAAGGAAGATATCTGCTTCAGACTACCCTGGATGACATACCCGAGTACATACTAGTGATAGGGTAGGCATCTTCCAATATTTATATAATAGTTTACGAAGTTACCTACCCTGGATGACATACCCGAGTACATATCTAGGAGGATAAGTCTTCTGCCAATATTTTTGCGCACTTGCCTACCCTAGCTGTCATATATACCGGAGAACATACTAGTGTTAGGGTAGTCTTCTGCCAATATTTTATATAATGATTACGCAGAAGACTACCCTAGAAAGAATGTATTTATTTGTGTCTCCGAAGTGTCCAAGAGGGGCCAGCCAACTTCATATCTCTTTTTGGTATACCTCTATATTACGCGGAGGCTATACCATATCCGAGTACATATCTAGGAAGATGGGGGCTTCTTCCAATATTTTATATAATAATTCTGAAGTTACCCCCATCTAAAAGTATATAACAGTTTCACTTTTATTTACGATTTGCTTACTGGGTTGCTATACGCCTCTTTTTACATCCTCCGGAAAAAATAAATTAAACATTTCCGAATTTTATAGAGATAGTATAACTTGTCGAACTAACATCATGCATACACCAACTATTTCCAACCAAACTGATCGCACCGGAACCACCCCAGCCTTCCGCTACGACGGCGCCGGCCTTTTTGCTGGTATCCCATCACGTAATGATATTGTGGTAGAATTCGATAATGGGATGACCACTATACTTTAACAAAGCCTATCCGGCAAGCAACCCATACATTTCATGCCTACTGAAGTTAGTGATGATATCGAGGGGTATTCCTCCTATATCTTGCGTATCACTGGTTCTTTGATTAATGGGCAAAAGGTGGTCGTGAATATCACAGGCATCCGACCATTCTTCGATGTTGAAGTACCTGAAAACCATTCCCCCTCTTCACTTAAGACCATATTAGCACGCATTTTATCAGTTACACTCAAAAATACAACAAAATTTGGGTTTGAGGATATTCATGCTTTTCCACTTCAGGGCTATTATACAGAAAAGAAAGCATATATCCGTATAAGGACGTGGAACCACTTTGATCGGTATAATGCCCTAAAAGCAGTTCGTGAAGTCGGCATTCGTACAGCTTCGGATGATCTAAACTGCCAGTATTATTACCGCAAAGTAGCTCGTGAAGAACGATTACCTCTTTCAAGCTGGGCCGTATTAAGCAATTATTTATATGAATTCACCTCGGATGGTACTTACCTATTTCGACTATCTGTGAATAATTATAATCCAATAAGTGAGGATGATTATAATAATCCATTATTCTCCTCGGCACTTACGAGGGATCGAACCCTCATACTCACATGGGATATTGAGACATATAGTTAACGAAAAACAGGCGAGGTGCCTAACGCAAAATATGATAAAGACAGAGTGTTTATGATTTGTATGACAGTGCATTGGAAAGATGATCCCGAACAGTTAAAACAAATCTGTCTTGTCGATGTTGAAACAGCACCAGAGCCAGGCTGGATCACAATTGTATGTGGATCCCAGACAGATTTAATAAAAGCATTCACTTTATGTTGGAAACTTCTAGCCCCAGATATACACATAGGATTTAACGATTCTCAATACGATTGGCGGTTTATTGTAGAGAAAGATAATAAATTAGGAGTTCTCGAATGGATGTTCAATCATATGTCATTCAAGCCATCGAGCCTGGAAAAAATTATAAAATGGGAATATCGATATAATATGATAAAAGTAAATGATGGAAAATTCCATTCGAAACATCTTAAAATTCCGGGATGTGTAGCTATTAACGTCCGACCCTGTTTTATGGGAATTTATTCTAAGGCTGAAAAGAGTAGTTTAGCATTTTACCTAAATGAATGTGGGC